CAGGGATCAGACCCATACCCCTGCATTGGATGGCAAAGTTTTAACCTCTGGACTGCCAGGGAAATCAGAGGAAACTCTTTTTAAATGTCTTTCATGTATTTAGCTTAGGAGTAAAATTTCATTTGGAAAAGGGGTCTGCCTACTCAATTAGAAGCTAACTGAATCCACTCACTTTGAGAGGTGGCCTCAGGCCAGTTCAGCCCACAGACAAAATTTCATTGTGTTGAAGGGGCCTTTGTCACCAACTTCCCCCAAAGCATCTCCCCTTGTATTTTGCCACAGGAGAATTTCTACTTCTAGGCCCATTTCTTTTTAAGGCATTGAAAACAGCAGTTTGGAGAACCTAGAACAGATTGGTCAGGAAAACACATTAAGGCATCCATTAGCACTTCCATGTGAATAAGATTGGGCTTCCCTAGCGGCTTAGTGGAATCTGCCTGCTAATACAGGAGACACGGGTTCAATCACTGGGTTAAGAAGACCCCCTGAAGAAGTAAATGGCAACACACTCCAATATTCTTGACTGGAAAATCCCATGGACAAAGGAACCTGGCAGCTACAGTCCATGGGATTGCAAAGACATGATTGAGTGACTGAGCATGCATGCATGAATAAGGTTATCTATTAACTCATGGGACCTAGTAGGGCCTGGAGAAAACTTGATAAGTTTCTGTGGAGAGGACAAGAAGGAAACGACTGGAAACCTGAGCAAATAAAGGGCAACGATAGGAAACCTAGGTTCTGAAAGTTGAGACCCATGAGTCAAGGAGAGTGGAGAGCTGATGGCTAGTAAGGGCGGCAGTGCGGGGGGGGGCGGGGGGTGTAGTTTTCATCTACCCCCCACTGCTCCCCCACCCTCCCCAATCTCACCTTGGTTAGCAGAGCTTCTATCTCCAGATCAATAGAGTTTTTCTTCTCTAATATAAGAACTTTATTCTTCTGATTGTGTCAACTATTAATATAAATATTTTTGTTTAACTGAATTTTACTCTAAAAGGCTTCTGTTGGAGGAAAGGATAAAGAAGATGTGGTACGTATATATATATATAGGAACATTATTCGGCCATAAAAAAGAATGAAATTGTTCCATTTGCAGAGACATGGGTGGAACTAGAGACTGTCATACAGAGTGAAATTAAGTCAGAAAGAGAAAAGCAAATATTGTTATGTTAATGCATATATGTGGAATCTAGAAAAATGGTATAACTGAACTTATTTGTGGGATAAGAATAGAGACACAGACATAGAGAACCAACCTATGAACACCAAGGGGGAAAGGGAAGACGACGGGATGGATTGGGAGATAGGGCTTGGCATATATACGCTATTATACATATAAGAGATAACCAACAAGAATCTACTGTGCGGCACAAGGAACTCTACTCAATGCTCTGTGGTGACCTAAACGGGAAGGAAATCCAAAACAGAGGGGGTGTGTGTACATGTTTGGCTGAGTCACTATGCTTTACAGCAGAAACTAACACAGTGTTGTAAAGCAACAAACTCCAGTAAAAAATTAAAAATAAATAAATGAATGGTTCTGTTGTCACCAGTACCAATAATAATGCCTAACCTATATTCATCTTGAGTTTTGCTACCTTCATAAAGCCTGTTTATTTTTTTCCAAATTCAAGCCACAAAGTTCTCAAATCTATCCACAGAACTGGTTATACACACTAATGTTTAGGTCTCCCACTTTGGCACAGGAAGAGATAGATAGAAGCTCGCCTAGGGTACAAAGGTAAGATGCATGCAGTCGGTTCCCTAAATTACATTCTCCTTGCAGCAAGGTATGAGCAGAGTCTTTACTTAACCTGTACAATTTGTAAAATGGCAGAAGGAAAAGCCTACTGGGTCTAGTTTTTACATTACATTAAAGTGATAAGTAAAATTGAGTTATAGCCATGACTCACTCTCTGCAAATTACCATCCCACATCTCCCAGCCTGCACTGGAGGACATTTCTCTGAGGAAACGTGCTTCAGAGAAACATGCTTCTGAACTGAGAATGACTGAGGTAAATTCTAAAGCCAAGTTGGCAGGGCGCTTAACTGTACAAAGATGAAGACAGAAATAGGACTGTGTTTTTACAAAGACTGTGTCAACTTTCAGTAGAAGTCAACCTCAGATGAGAGTGGAAGTGAAAGAGAGGTGGCAGAGAACTTGAATGAAATGAAAACCGAACTCCACCAAGAATTTTCTTACCAATTGTCCCCACATAGATACATGAACATTTCAGATACACCTAGTAATACTGCCAGCTAATAGTCTACAATTGAAGAAGTGCTTTCATGTGTGTTTTCCCTTCTTTGCAGACTGTGAGCCTTGAACATCAATCAGTCATCCAGGATGCTGCTGGAAGCTAAAGAAGAGCCTTCTAGACCTCAGCTTTCTTCAGGTATCACCTATATATAGATACACCCCATGGCACCCCTCCAAGGTCCATGGGTCTCAGGACTGTGTGTGTGTTTGCGTGCACACTGTCTCTACTGCACGTTGCAAGGTCAAGACACAAGGAACAGCTGCATCTTCTTTCTGCAGGTAAGAGCTCTCTCTTCCTCACAATCTACTGTTCATCACATTTAGAAGCCAAACCCACACCCAAACACCCTTTGAAAACTCTCAGTGCTACCTAGGATGCTGACAGAGATGTCTTGCTGATTTACCCAGTCCTTTGATGATAAATAAAATCAAGCCCTGATCCCCACTGCTGTTTGGTATTCAGCTATGTCCAGGGAGGGAGCCCTGCTGGTCACTCATAATGCAGCCTCCCAGTCTTCATCTGTTTGTGAAGGACCTATGGAAGGTAGGATGCTAACAGGCCGACTCTTCCTTTTCTAAAGCCCTATTGACACAAGTTGTTGTTTAATTTCTAAGCCCTGTCTGACTCTTTTGCAACCCCATGGACTGTAGCCCTCTAGGCTCCTCTGTCTATGGGATTTCCCAGGCAGGAATACTGGAATGGGTTGTCATTTCCTTCTCCAAGGGATCTTCCTGACCCAGGGATCAAACCCAAGTGTCCTGCGTTGGCAGACAGATTCTTTACCACAGAGCCATTAGCGAAGCCCATGTTTACACAAATTACTTCTTCCTTTTAATGAGCAACCAGGATTTCTTTTCTCTTTGTATCAACCACACACACACACACACACACATTCAGTGCTGGAGAACTAGTGAACATTAGTGTTCTTACTTATTTTATTCCTAATGAAGCAGGTTCAAATCAAACAGCAAAGTCTGAGAAAATAATCAAAAAGCTCATGGAAGGCTTTTTGCCTTTGTGTTTGTTCTAGTTTTCCTCCACTGATCATTTTCAACTCTCTTCTCAATCAAGGGCAATTAAGTAGGTGTCCTGACCCCAGGGCAGGTGGTAGCCCCAGGTTCAGGCAAAAATCACTGAGACCCTGACAGCTACTGTGTCTTGGTACTCAATGGGCAACTTTCCCAGGGGAGGCTTTTAGTGGAGAAACAGAGACACTTGAGAGACCTTTCTGTAAAACCAGATATTACCTGGAAACCCAGCCAGTTCTGACTGTTGTTGAGAAGATGCTCAGCCTTCCCCAGGCAACACTTCTGTCCCCAGAAAGGACAGGGCAGTGAGATCCCAGGTAGGTAAAGTGAGAAAACCCCTTCTGTCCCTGAGAGATGTGACCTGCTCTTTGTCTTGAATTTGGCCTGGTGTCAGTGAAGATCCATGGGGCCGAGATCCCATAAACGACACCAAGTATACTGAATTGTTGACTCCATGGCTTGAATCAAGACCAACACTAGTTTGAGAGGGGTTTGGAGAGCCCTTCACCCACCATCACACAGATGGAAATGGTGTGAGCCAGGCAAAAAGGATGGAGGGTGCTGCTATCTGCTTTGTATCGAAGCAGGTACCTGGTAGAAAGACTGGGGAAAGAAAGGCAGTGTAATTTGATTTATTATGTAATAGGATTGTACACAATAAAGAAACCTCTTAGGTGACAAGGAGAGAGGTCTCAACCAGATGGCTAGGACTGTACCTTATGCTTCTATTAAAAATTACATCCTCTGTGTGTCCAGCCCAAAGTGAGTCCTAATATAAAGCTGACACTCCCCACTAGAGTAAAAGCTCTAGAAAAGGATTTTTGTTGTTGTTTTGATTTTTAATTGTGTGTACCCATCACCTAAACAGGCAGGCATTCAGTACGTATTTACTCATTGACAGATAGAACTTTCCATGTCCTCCTCCCTCCACATCCCCATGAAACAATGGGATTTATAAACCAAAGCCAGTGAAAAGGGAGATGCTGGTAGAAAGAAGTGCTTTCTAACCACAGTTTACCGAAGAACTGGCCACCCAGGAAGATAAGTTCTGACTCAACACCATCTTCACCTACTCTTTATGAATAAGGGAAGCAAAATCACAGGTGTGTTGGGGACCTTGGGTGGGGAGGGGCCTGAGCACTCCTAAGGACCTTTCCTGAGATTCTTGGAGAAAAGAGATCCTGGGTACTGGGGATGATGGGTACCGATGAAAGATGGCATAAACATCAAACGCATAAATGCAAAACTGCAGAACTTGCAGACTACTACATAACGGAAATGTATTCATTCAAAATACAGGTAACTGGAAAACGGGTTTTGGGAATGGCTCTAGTTTTTTTTTTTTTTTTTTTAAAGTGTTGATCTTGGAGCTTCTCTTTTAGACTTTTTCTCCCCTTCCTTCTTGTGGGTCCTTACAGAAAGGGGATGCTCCACGGACGACACCAATGTCCCCTTCGCTGCTCAGGGACCGGGTGATGCCAGGTTCGGTTCTGGCCCCCAATTCCCCTTGTCACAGCCCCTACCCCCACCCACCCCCCAGCTACTGACCGAGGCCTCGAGCAGCTGCCATAATGTGTATAAAAGAACCTCTCCCAGACATTGGTTTCCTCTGTTCTTGGAATGTTTTTGGCAGATTCCCCCCGTTTTCCAGGTCTCTTGGGAGTCTAAACACACATTTTCTTTATTTCAGACTAGATTACAAAGTGTTCACTACATTGAGCGCTTCCTACCCCTCTCCCCCTCCCAACCGTGCGCTCGTCCCTGCCAGCCCCGGGCGCGCGGGGACTCGAGGGCGTGAGCCCTGGCAGACCCAGCCTTTTGCAACTGTGCAGAATCTGATTCAGAGTCAGGACGATTCAAACTGCTATATGCCGCCGGAAGACTGAAGGGCCCCGTGCGGCCAAATGAGAGCTGCTGCGGACCCAGCGCCGCGGTCTCCGGAGTGCGGGTCCTGTGCCTGCGACCGGGCTCCACATCGCCGCCCCACTTTTCAGACGCACGCTTTTCAGAAAGCTGTTCATTGGAATACATCCTTCAAACCGGTGGGGAGAGGAGCGGGTGGAGCAAAGCCCTAGTGGAGTCTAGGGGCTCCAGAGCAGAGGAACTCGCAAATGCGAAATAGGCTTCTGCTGGCCTTGGATCATTCGGCTTTTATGCTGAGCTGCGGCTATGTTGGGTGGTTTCGGTCCCGGCCCTCACTGGCTCTAGATCCTTGAGCTAGTTACAGCCGTTCCACTGGTACGCGGGTGGGGCAATTCATTAGGCAAGACGCGGATTAGTTGTTTATTATCTATAAACATTCCAACCACAGCAACCAATCATAAAACCGCGGAAGGGCCTGTAAAGTAAGCCTTGGTGTGAGCCGTGCGGGCTCAGTGACCGTTCCTGGAGACGAAGGGTCCTTGAGAGAGAGAAAGAAGGAGAGAGAGAGAAGCGGTTTGGGGTGGCGTGGAGTCAACAACAAAGCCATTTGTCGGAAAATCATTTACTAGATTTTTGAGAATAACGATTTTTTAAAAAATGGAACAGGGTAGCAGAAAAATTAGGCAGCTTAAAGTCATAAGTGGGGTTGTTGATGCCAGCAATAAAAGCTATTGATTAAATGGGAAGAACAATTTAGTCTTTGGTTCTTGGTGAAATACAAAGTGACCAATCATGAAAGGAACCTAACAATAATTATGGAGGGAAAACATGTTTCAAACTGCCTTCTTTTTAGTGACAGAAATTAGCTTTTAAGTATGGCTGAGACCCTTTTTAAAATTCTCGTTTGGGATAAAACATTTTCGAATACTCGGAGTTAGTATCAAACAATTAAATACCGTTTTAAAGTATGAAGTCTCGTTGTTGTTTTTAACCAAATAGCTATTTTACTTCTTTAGGTATTAGACAAGCTTTAAATTCTCAGTGCTCATTTGATATTTTACTATATTAGAAAGCCATCCAACTTTTATACTGGTTTTCTAATAATTCAAGCGCATTGTTCTCAGTCTGATTCAGAACCTATTACTGAGAAATCAAGTTATTGGTAAATTTCTTATATATAGTTTAACAAATATATTGGTTTGCAAATTCATTAGAAATAGATTTTAGGAGATCTAGTGACATACACACATACCAGAGGTTTCCTATTTTTTAGATTTTTTAAAGCTTTTAATTGAAGTATAACAATGCAAAAAGAGCCACAAATTATACACTAAATGCTCAATAAATTATTAAAAACAGTACATCTCCTGTAACTACCTAGATCAAGAAAAAACATTACCAACATCCAAGAAGTCCCCCTCATTTAAAAGTAAAATAGGTTTGCTTTTGATTTGGAGATAGGCTTTTTAAAACAGTTGCTCATCACATGCTCAGATTTCTTTTTAGTATCAGTATTGTGGATTTTTTTTTTCCAGGGGATTATCTTCTGATAAATAAAAATAAAATGCTCTGAGTTTCCCTGTGTTGAAAGGGAATAAAAAGTCTCCAGATTCATTTCCCCCCTTGGCAACCCACACCCCTGCCCAGCTTTCCCGAGTCCACACCGGGAGACATAACAAACAAACGATTACATGTTGAAAAACACAGCTGAAAACAGAAAGGTCACATTACCCCTGAGTCCTGGGGAACATTAATCTCGTGTTTGGAAAACAGTTGACAGTTGAAGGTTGGGGTTTCTCTCTCTTCTACAGTAGGTCTAAAACGGGCGGGGGAGGGGAAGGGGAGGGGGGAGAGGGAGAGAGAGTCATTTGAGAATAAAAGGGAAGAGATCATCTCTGTGGCCTCTTATAGAAATAAATGCTCTGGGGGACCACCAACTTCCAACCCAGATTTAAGTGAATGAGTGAATGCATGCATGATTGGGGGGAAAAAAAAAGAATGCCACCGGGAGAAAAAGAGAATCCGAAATGGCTTGCCTTTACTCAGAGTGCAGAGGTGTGCGTGAGCTTTCCTAGAATAATTAATGTGAATAGTGAGCAATAGTAAGATAGCGTCAAGCCCAGAGCGCCTAAGGGCAGAGTTTGCTGGACGAAAACCAGTCCCTTCTCTAATAGTTTATGGGAAGGTGAAAGCTGATTGCCTAACTACTCGCCTGGATCGGCATTTCCCTGAGCCTGCGCCTACCCCAGGTCCCCCACCCCTCCAGTTCTCTGACTGCTCGGAATTCCTCCTCCTGACTTGGATGAGTGCCCAGAACCCACTGCCGGGTGGGGGCGGGGGTGGGGGGCAAAGTGTCGGGGGAGGTGGATTGGGTGTCTAGCACCCTGTTATCTAAGATCGCACGAGATTCTGCGTATCTGAATTTATAAGGTAGAATGAGGAAAGATCTGAAGTGCATTTCTGCGACGATAACTAGAAATATCACGCCGAAAATTATACTGGTCCATTGCAAATTCAGCATATAGTGATTTCCCCTTTATTAGCATCCTTACATCCTGACATCTCTAAAACAACGAACTTGAGAGGCAGGACGATGGAGGGGCCAGGCAGTGATAGCGAGAACCAAGGGACTTCGGGCCAAGCAGAAGTTTTCCAAGAGCTTTAAATGACCTTGAGAATGTCACTTTAACCTTAATGAGCTCAGGGATCCCCGTGCACAAAATGCGATCTGATGATGATGCGCTCTCTACCTCTCTGACTGCAGGTCAGTAATCAGGCCCTGGCGAGAAGAGGCGGTAGGTGGCTAGAAACATCTCCCTGGCTCCCTCTGCGCGTCCGAGAAAGTGCAAGCTCGCGTTTGAAGCCCAGGAGATCGGGGTGGGAAAATTAGCGGGCAATTCGCTCTGAGCCGGGACAGTTAATCTGCCTGGAGCCCGCGTGGCCAGGACTAACGCGCTCTCTCTCTGCCTGCTCTGTCCGGCTGACAGTGATTTATGCGCCGGTGATACAAGCAGGCCGTGAACCTGGATGGTTGGACGGTTCTTGGGGCCTGCAAGGGGTTAAAGCAGGACCGCTCAGCGCGGCGCAACCTGCACGCCTCTCGCGGGTGCTCGCGGTTGCAGCGCGCGGATGCCGCAGATTTTCCCGCTCAGTTGGATTCAACGTCAACCTTCTCGGTTAACCGAAGGCATTTCCACTCCTGGGTGTGTGGCCCTCGAGCCCCGGGCTCCGGACCGAACTCGAGGTGCAGGTCTCGAGCCGCTGGTGGAAACCACTTCTCCTAGGATTCAAAGCCAACTGCCTTCGGGGGAAGGGGGGCGGGGTGGATGCTTTGCCTCGGGAAAGAACTGTCCCTGGTCATTTATTTTAAGACATGAACTCCTCCAGATCCGGAGCCCAGCCTCCCTGCGGCTATAGCCCCCGCGCCAGGCAAGCGGCCACACCGCGCTCTCCGTGAAGCAGCGAGACTGGATCAATCCGCTTGCAAATATAGTTGTTTGTTTGTTTGTTTGTTTTACAGCCGCCGGCCACGGCCGCACTTCCCTCGCGGTTCAAAGTCCACAGCAGCCGCCTCCCCGGAGGCTGCAGGCCGCCTCCCGGGACCACAAAGCGAGCGCCTCCGCCCGGCAGGCCGCGGGCGGGGCCGCGGGACTCCTGAGGTGTTGGGGGATGCTGGCTCGACTCTCCGCGGTTCCTTTGTCGGCCCAGGGGTTCAAACATTCATTTTATAATCGTCCCCGAAGAACAACGCGCGACTAAGAAAGACTGCCAAGAATTAAACTGAAGTCAGCCACCCACGTTTCGGGGAGACTTTTTCCCCTTGAGCTTGGGACAAGGGGGCTGTGCCCCTTACGATTCATTCACCCTCTTTCTTCCAGCTCTCTGTTCTGCTTGGTTACGAGGAGGGACGTGGACCCGGTGTGAAACCAGGCGGGCGGAAGGTGGGGGTCCTCTCCCTGGCTCAGGCGTGTTATCTCCAACCCACGGCCATCCCCAGCCCCCCTCCCCCCCCCCCCCCCCCCGGATGCAGGGACGCGGGAGAAGCAAGCATATCTGGGAAGAAGGTCAGGCCTTAATGCTCTGCAAGGGTGAGGTGTGGCGATCTCTGGGGAGTTGGGCCTTGCTTCCCTACTGCTCCTCTCCTTTATATCTCCCACCTCCTCCCCGAGACACACACACCTGGAGGGAGGGGACATGGATGGAGAGGAGGCTGGAGAGACGCTCCCACCCACCAGGAGATCAGACTCTTCTACGGCCACGCGATTTGCCCAGTTCTGGTGGAGGTCACAGAAGGTGCCAAGACCTGCTAAGATGATGCTAAGAAGATGCTAAGATGAGAAGACACAGGAATGGTCCAACGCAACGAAGCTCAGAAGGAGACAACCCTCTCTCATTCATAAATATCACTGCAAATGTATTAGAGACCTCAAGTGATTTTTTATTCCGTTTGCAGTCTCCGCTGAAAAGGATCTGGTACTGTTTGTGCTAGTCAAGCGCCAGAACACTGTTAAAGTGAAAGGGAAAAGGGAACTAAGAATGTTTAAAAAGACACACGGAACATTTTAAGATAACCACATACAAAATGCTCACATAACTTTTATGAGGCCAGTTACAGTTAAGAAAATACATTTTCTAATTTAATAAAATTTAGTTCCTTTGGTTGTTCCAACAGACTTTCAAAATTGATAACATTTGATTATGAAACTTGACTTTGCAGAAAAATTAGTACCTTTGGCTTTTTAAACATACATAGTTATTTTGAAACAAAATGTTTTTAACTATCTGGCACAAACACAAAATACAAAACATATTTTAGGAATTATCATAATACCTCCTCCTCTATGAGATCAGAATTTGACCTATTTAAACCAAGAATAAATAGCTAACTCTTTGGCTTCAACAATTTTTTCTTCTTAGTTCCTAGATGTTGATTGAAAAGTAATAAATGACTGTTTTTAACAAATCCTTAAAAAGCAAGATTAAAAACTGCATAATCTTCCTAGATTATAAAACATAATAAAACATAAACATACTAGAAAACAAAATTTACATAAATTTCACCTCTGTATGAAACTGTCATTTATAAATTTTATACTCTTATGAAACATAATTCACTTATGTATTTTGTAACAAAATGGGAGCCTTATTGTATTACTATTTTCCTTTAT